GTTAAACAATACTGTAATGAGAGAGCGAGAGAGAAAGTGGTAAAATTTATACCTGGAACGGAGATTTCATGGATCAATCTTATGGAACCTCGCGGACCTTTACTAACAATCGAAAATACAGTCAAAAGGAAGAGTATCGATACGGCGCCGAATATATTTACAACACGGTCGCCAAGGAGGAGAAACAAGGAGAAAAAACTCCAGCACTGACTTGTGAGAACAGAAATGTGAGTGGAGTGCTTGCAGTTGTGCTTGCTTCTTTCCACCGTTATCTGTAGTTGATATGCANAAAACATACTTTTATACAAATTATTATCTCTTGTCAATGATTTAATGTATTTAATCGAAATATACATAGCAATAATCGTGTTGCAGACAGAGTGAGAAATAAGTAAACAACAATTCAAATCGGTGTGCATGCTCACCTGCGTGGCACATAAATTCTTGTGCGTGGCCGCGCAGCTTAGAGGGAACATTGGTTTTGATTACACAAGAAATAGAGAAGGGTCCACAAGAGATACCTGATTGTAGGTGTGAGTGTAAGGATAAGCTTGCTGATGAAGAAATCCAAACTATTCATCAAGCTTTTTCAGAATGTTGATAATCAGGAAGCAAAGTGTCAGTTCTATAAAAATCAAACAGGTGATTTTTTGTATTACACAAGCATATTATATGTGCAATGTAATATAATCAGAAGAATGATAAGTCCATGTATGGAGTACTGTGAATTTTGTAATACTACTATTAATTTTGACGCTTTTCATGTAATAACTGAATGTAAGGTGCTGACAACAGTCAGACAAGTGTTTTGGTGAAGATTTTTTGGTTCAATCATATAAACAGTTGTTACAGGACTGTAATAAATATCATTATATTTATAGTTTTGTAACTAAGTTAAGTGGCTAATTATTTATTTGTTAAGATTAAGAGACTTTTTTTTCCAGACGCTTACCACCAGGAGGTGTAAATTTACTATTTAAGTGGACAACTTGTTAGTGTTTGACAGTTGGCAGTGTTTATGGTCGGCACTTTTGGGCATATTATAAATAATTATTCAATTTTTTGCAGGTAATTGTTTAGTTTTTTTCTTTTTATTTGTTTTGTCTTTTGTATCCACCAACCATTCACTGCCATTTTTCTTTTTTTTCCCTCATAAGAATATAAATATTATTATTATTATTTTGGATGATATTGAAATTAACCTTGTGCTATCTTTCTTATTTTTCCTTTTCAGACCAATTGTCATGTGCTGTATTGTTGTATTATTATTATTCTTTTTGTACTGATATTCATAACAGTTTGTAATTTTGGTATAAATAGCCTGTACATATAGTGTGAAATCCGCGATTTTTACGCCGATGTCGGAAAAATCTTTGTAAACAACTCCGATGGAAAAACCCACTCTTGGTGAGAAGTATATCGGAGGTCACCGATTGTTTTCACATTATGATGGGAAAGTTGACAGTTAGTTGATCGCAATGCACCGTAAGTGTCAACTGAAGTCGATCATGTGCCTCATTTCCCACGAATAACGTATAAAAGCTCGAGTCCCCGGAAGCTCAGGGCGATCCCTCGGAAGTTATACTTGGTAGATGTGCCATATTTGTCTCTATACTCCGGACCGAAAGGACATACGATCAACCACAGCCGTTTGAACTTCCATCGCCCTTAACGAACATATTCAACGAACGCATTTTAGACATATCAGCATACAGGTATCTGTACTTTTTAGAACTTTGTGAACTCTCTCTCAGACTAGCAGGTAAAGCTATTAGAGCGTCCCTTTTGTACAGTGAATTTATTTAATCGCATTTAACCTATGTATCCTAGCTTAGTTATATAAATAAATGCTTGTTTTGTTTTTAAACCTGTCTCCTGTCTCTGAAGGACACCTGCCGACTTACCGACGCACTCCCCACTCAAATTTTTGCCCTCCTAGCCATCCGACTAGCCGAGAACGGGTTTTACCAACCTGTTGCAGAGTAAGTGGTCATTTGGGATGAGCCCAGTGGCCCACTGCTAATCTCACATATAGGGTTCTTCTTGTACTAAATAAATAAATAAATAAATAACAGGTGATAAGAGGAAAGGGAACAGACAATCACAGGAACTAAGAAAATGACCAAACATAACTACCCATTGCTTTGTTTTGTTTTTAAACTGTTTACGAAAAACTTTAAACTTGTTTTTATGTCTATAGTATGAAAATTATTCTTTTTAAATATGAAATTAGGACTTAACATTGTGAAATATTAAGTTAAGCAGTATAAAAGTCCACACTTCTTATTAAAAAAAAATTATTAAATTGATCAATTAAACTGAAAAATGGTGATATATTGGATTAGTCTATGATTATACTTTAGTTTGATATAATTTTGCCTGCCAAAATATTATTAGTAATATTTCAGGATGACTTTGAAATATTATTTTGTGTTTTTTCTCAACTTGTGTAATGTGTGACTTGTGCACTTTTTCACTAGGGTCTTCAATTATAAAATATAAAAAAATTAACTAATAGTATAATTAATATTTTAAAGCCCGATGAGTATAAATATAAATGACCAACGATTAACTGAAAGATTGGGCTAGAATTTGGCTATTTAAATAATTAATACAAAGTAAGTTGTCACTAGAGGGAGGCGTTAGGCACCATCTCTTAACTAAATTAATAATTATAGTCTAGTGTATTAATCATTTAATTAGCCACATTCTAGCCTGATCTTTCAGGCAGTTGTTGGTTGTTTATATTAAATAACAACTTTAATATTTGTTTTAACCAAATAATTTTATAAAATATTCTCCTTATGTGTAGTTTTTAGTAAACATCTGTATTTATATGGACTAAACACATATTCCTAACATAGTAATAAAACTATTGATGTACAGAGTATTTTGCTCTTGATTAAGCAAACACCACTTTCTTTGGACAATGAACTAAAATTCCTATTCTCCAAAATCTCTATTAAGTGGACAGTACAATGGCTTGTTTTCTATATTATTTAAAAAATTCCATGATTACATGTGCTCCAAGTCCTTAAACCTGTCAAATGAGATTTTCACAGTTCCACTTATAGATAGTACTCTGACACTGCATCAAACATTATTAGATTAATTTTCCTTTATGTACTATAGAAGGAATGCATTAACAAACTCATTGAATTTTGAAGAAGGAAAAACAACAAAGTAGAATGAATCAAATGAGTCAAGTATTAGAAAACTTGGAAACATTCTGCATGGAAAGTTTAGATAGCATAATTGGTAATGTTGCCTGCTTAGCTTTGTAGTAGTTTAAGTTTGAATTGGAATTTGAGCTAATATCTTTTCTTCCACATTTATCTAAATTATTAATTTCTAATTATTAAATACAACACAAAATACTATCTAACACTTCTAGTGCAAAATGTCAATTATTGTGTAAAAATAGTCCTATAATTTTGGCATTTTTTTGATGTTTTCTGATTTCTATTCTTATCACATATTCTTACACAAAACAAAATCAAGTATCGATTTATTTAAGGAGATTGCTGAGTATTGTACAATATACAACAATATTTTAAAGGATATCTGTATTAAGCAGACAAAACCTCCAATCTCAACAGTCTGTTAAACCCATTTTCTACTGTATATTGCAGAACAAAAAAAGGTATTCCATACGATTAAAATCAATCATATGAAATATGAATTTACTTTTCATAATATTTAAATTTTTGATGCAAATATTAAGCTTCTATCTCAATGAAGGTAAAAACTCTGAATTCATCAATTATATAAGAATTCTGTAAAGAGTTCTTACATATATTAAGCTTTTATGAAATTCAAAAATAACTAGAGGAGATAGTTCACAAAAACTTAACCTTTATAAATTTTATTATTCCATTCCGTTATATTCTGTAACTAAGGAAGATCAGTGAAACTGATCAAATACTTTTTTATTTTATTAAATTCATTGCTGGATTTATAAAAGTATAAGTTTTTATTAAGCTTTTAATCTCATATACTAAAAATACTGTTATCAAAATTTACACAAAAACTTCTTAAAAATAAACCTATTTAACAAAATTTAATTAAACCTTTGGCATTTGCATGTTATCTATAAGATGTGAATATTTCAAAATATTTAACTAAAAATTATACAAAACTATGATCACATAAAAATATGAATATAAATTTAGTTTCTATCATTTCTGATGCTTCAATCAATATAAAACACTTGTAGATTTATAGTATTACTAATCTCATAAATATTTTTAATGTTATATACAGTAATCCAAAAAATGCAAAAAATTAAACGAATGAAACTACAATCTGTCAAATTTCTTTCAAGCCTGCTGTGTGTATTTTTGTAGCTTAAAAAAATCCAGTTTCAAGATTGATATTGAGGGTTATCAGATTTAAAAATCCAAAATCATCAAATGGATAGGACCACATTTCTCCAAAATGTAAACAAATGTCTCCAACCATATGGAGGAAATAATTGCTTTATAACTCTTTCCTCTTTCTACTGTTAATAAAGTAAAATTATTTTTATATCTTCTTTCTAAAGTGTTTTGCTTTTGACTGTTCAATTATTTTACTCAAATACTCTTTATAAAGTTTCATGTTCAAGACTTTTTGTAATATTGTATGTGAATAAACTTCTGCATAATAATGGAAAAGATACAATTGAAAAACAAGGCTGTTCTCCAAATGTATTTTTTATTTTGTAATTTTATATAAATAATTAGGTAAAGTTATAAAATTTAATTCACTACAGTGCCAAGTTCAAATTATGAAATATACTATTGAGATATTAAAATTATTAAAAAAAAAATCAAATAAAATTAAAATTTTGTATAATTTGCATAAATTAAAAAGTATGCTTAATATAAACAAAACATGAAAAATCTTCTTAAAATAATTAAGTTTCAATAAATATAATGATAAACATGTTTGTTATTTTTAAGAAGTTAAATTATGACATCAATCATTTAAAAATGAATATAAATAAAAATGTTATTTACATGTCCATTAATAGTTTCAGAACTTTCATCTTCAGATCCACTCAATTCTTTAATTTTGTTTTCTAAAGCTTGAGCATTTGCCCCTCGAATCTGTGCTAATTTTATTTTATTTCGAAAGAAATTGAAAGTTGGCATGGCGCTAACTCCCTGAGATGTTGCTGTATCATTACATTGATCTACATCAACTTTTAAGAAGACAACTTTTGGGTATTTCTTGCTAAGTTCTTCATAAAGAGGGGCCATTCTATGACAAGGACCACACCTGAAAAAATAATTGTTTTTAAAAGTTTTTAATTTAAATAAAAGTTATTTTAAATTATAACAGTAAATTTAAATAATGTTTCTTAATAATTGGGCTGCAATTTGAAAAAAATGTAGACTTATAAATTTCCACTGTCATATGTCCTTCTTTAATCTCAAGAACAGAGTTAGACAGACAAAAGTTGCGACCATAAGTTTGTATATAGTAAATCAAGGCAGGAGGCCTCAATTAACTATATACAAAATTCCGATGAAAACTGCAAGTTGCATTATTTCAATTCAAAAATTTTACCCTAAAATGAATTAGGTAGATGACTGGCATGACTATTATTAACAGGAAAAGTATGATGTACAGGAGCAAGACACTAAGATGGAGAGCATATATTTTAAATTAAAAATATAATTAAAAATTGCAGGCCTGGCATTGTTATGATGTCACAATAAATAATTGCTTGTTGATGTTAAGTTTGATTTCAGATTTCAGCACACAAAAATAAACAATATAAAATTCACATATAAAAGTTTCATTTTTGCATTTTATGTAGTCCTTTTTATTTTCATAAGTATAATGAAAATACAGTAGAGCGTCAATTATCCGAATCAATTGGGGACTGGGGTTGTTCAGAAAATCGATATTTCAGATAACCGATTATGTACGAAAAAATATATTAATTCATCCCATGTTGAAATTTTTCTCTGTTGCATGTCGCTTTCCATTGAATTTTCGTTGATGTTAAGCCTAACAAAGACTATTGTATCATTAAAAATTATTTTTACAAACAAAATAAATATATTGAAAAATATAAAAACAAAAAAAAATTATACTTCAGAAGTTAATTTAGTATCAAAAACGTAAAATATTTGAGTAGCCCAAAACATAGCCAAAGATTGCAGTGCCACAGCACTGGCGAAAATTTAAATTTGCCGACTGAAATTCTTTTGGATAATTGACGTTTCGGATAATTGACTTTCGGATAATCGACACTCTACTGTAGTTATAAAGTTTGAATAACTTCATAATTTTATACTACAATTAACAAAACTTTGTCTGTCAAAAGTCATCAGAACCTGCTAGGACTGTAGGTTTATTTCTACATTAAAAAGTAAAAAAAAAATTCAAAAACAACTCTTGGCAAAATTGAAGATCTTGCCTTCAATGCTGAATGACTTGCAAAAATCAATAAGAATTAAGTCACAAAAACTAAAATAATATAACCTGACACATTTATTGATTGGATACAGTAGAACCCCTCTAGTCCACCCTCGGCTAGTCTGTCACTCCAGTTAATCCGACCATGGTCGGAGTCGAGAAACTTGTCCCAACTCGTCGATGACTCACAGTCCGTGGCATTTTTCTGTGTTCGTTACAGTATATGTTTTACATTGTATGTACATGTACAGTTTTGTGTGTGTTTTCAACATGTCAGGAGTGAAACGTAAACATGTTACTCTTTCATTAAATGAAAAATTAGCAGTGCTACAAAGACTGGACAAAGGGGAAGATTGTTTATTTTACTTTTTTCTGATAATCTGACCTTTTTTGCATTCTGACCATACTCCCAGTCCCAAACATAATGGATTTGAGGAGTTCTACTGTATTTACATAAAAATTCAAATTTACATTTGGTCAAGGCTGTTTATTTTTGCTGAGCATAATACGAGGGGGGCTTCAAAAAGTTCATAGAAAAAGGATAGTATGAAAAAATGATTTCAGTTACGATGTTTATTTTTTAACATATACAGTAATACCTCGACTTACGCAAACCTGGAGTTATGCGATTTTCAAATCTCGCCGATTCGTCTTTTGTTTGAGTGCCATGCAACTCTCGATTACTCACTCCCCCCACACTATTGTTCAGCTTACATGTTCGGACGTGTCGTGCGGAATCAACGCATAGCTACAATTTATTTTGTGTTATTTATTTCTGTGTTTGTTTTGTTTTATCTACGGAGACTTGAGAGACTCTACTATGTCATCCAAACAAAGTAGAACTGATTCTTCTGCATCAAACAAGAAAAGAAAAATTTTATCTTTGGAATGTAAAGTTAACATTATTAAAGACTTCGATACAAAAATGAAAATTTGTGAATTGGCAAAGAAGTTTGATCTAGAGGAATCAATGTTCAGAACAATTATAAAAGGTAAAGAAAAAATTCTCGAAGCTGCGAAAAATGCTCAATCTTTAAATTCAAGCATCATTCGTAAACATCACGGTATTATCACTGAGATGGAAACAATGTTAAAATTATGGTGTGATAATCAAGTAATTGTAAAACATTGTATAATAATATAATATGTTATACATATGCATTATCTAAGATTTTATTAAACATTTTTTTCTAAATTATTGCTTTTTTTAGTCTCCGGCCCCAATTAAAAATTATTTGTATGTATTTATATGGGAAATTATACCCCGACTTATGCGAATTCGACTTAGGCGGTTATCGCTTGGTCCCACCTATCGTGTAAGTTCGGGGTATTACTGTACTCCATTAAGGTCGATACATTTCTGCAAACGTTGATAGCAGCCTTTAAGTTTGTCTGAGTAGAACTGAGGGTCTTGTGATCTGAACCATGTCAGAGCAGCTCTTTTTACATCTTCAACTGATGGAAAATTGGTACCTTTCAGTGACTTATCCATTTGTAGGTTGTTGAATTCTTTGGAGTGTTATCACCATAAACTTGTTTTAGAGCATCAATGATTTGCCTATTCTCTCAACCAAGTTTCACCATGAACTTTATGTTTGTTCTGGTCTCGATTTTGGTGGATTCCATGTTGCTTGACTTTCAACTGGTGGTGCTGAGTTCTTACCTGCATTTAAGGGTTCATGTTTGAACATGTTATAACATGTTGGTAAAGAATGTTCAAGTGCAATGAAATCAAAATCCTTCCAAACAATTTTTAGTTATGGACTTTTTCCACAAACTTTTTGAAGCACCCACATATTTCAGTTAGGTATCAATATATTAATACCTAACTGGAATAATAATATAATAGTAGAGCAGGCCAAAATCTATATGAAATTTGTTTTAAAAATAATAGCTAAAAATACATTCAAACTCATGTTTTAGAGACCAATTACAAACTGTCTAAATTCCATATACATTAAAAATTTTTTAAATTTTACTAATTTTTTTTTATGACCAAATACTAAAATATAACAATAATTTTCAAACAACAGTCTGAAAATAAAAAAAAAAGCTTTGAAAACCAATGAAAGATCCAAAAATGCTTGTAAGATCGTATATGACAAATATTTAATCAATACGCAAAGTCTAAGATGTTATACAATGAATATTTTGGAAATGTCATAATATCATTATAATTGTGTTAACAATGCTATTTCAAAATATTTGCCTGATAGGGGCTTACGAAACGTAATGTAACCAAAAGAGATATAATATACTCAGAGTATAATGACAATAAAATTTTAACCTATTTCAATATATATTATAGTATTTCACAACAATCTCCAAGCAAATGAGATGGTTCCTATGTCTCTAATTTATGGATTTACCCTTGAGAGATGACATAAATTCTTCTAATGGTCTTGGGAGTCTAACAATATGTATTGGTTTGATGAGCCTAGCCTCCTTCATATTTATTTCCATTAACTGTTCTAAGGGTGCAACTATGCAGACACAAGTCAGAGAATTTGCCAAGCAATGTATGAGTGAGTGAGAATAGGTGGTTAGGTTTCTTGATCTTGTTAAGTACAATATGACTACACTGATATGAGTGAATGGGAGAAAGCAATGTGGAAATGATGAAATCACATGTTTACATTGAACTCATCACAAGGAAGCGTGAATGTATGGAAGTAAAAATCAAAATGGTTCAACTACGATGCTTACTACTAGCAAAGAAAAAACTTTTGTTATTAGAATTACTTCATAATGAACACACAAAAAGAAAATGAAAATATGGTGTCCCTCCTTTCTAGAAACAGAAGAAGAATAAAGAACTTTATTATAATCAATATATATTATACAGGTAAGCGTACAATGTTCGTGCTGCTAAAACTCAAAAACAAGTCCCAGTATGTTCAAGAGAGTTATATGGTGTGGTAGACCTCTATTCCCCATCCATGAAGAAGGTTCCCATTTTTACCTGAAGGGCGTGCTGTTGAAGATATAAAAGCTGGAAGTTAAGGCTTATCCTGAAGAACTTGGCTTCTATTGTACTATTTTTAGATGCAATCTTTTTGCTTTTTTGACTGCGTTTTAGTAGGCTACCACATTTAGTAGGGTACCACGGGGGATGAAAGAAATGTATTCCTTAACAATGGAAGTGTTAAAAATGGAAGTGTTGAGGAACAATGGAAGTGTTAAAAGAAAGCGGCATGCAAGATTTACAGGCACAGATGCGGTTTTTTGCGTTTTTGCAGGAAATTGAACATATTTTCAGACCCATGTAAAAATTCTCTAATTAGTCTGGAAACGGGGGACATAATTCTTGCATTCTGTGAAAATGGATAAGATTGGCTATAATGTAATTATAGCCAATCTTTGATATCATTATTTTTTGCCCGAGCAATGCCAGGCTCATCTACTATTTTTCTATAAATGCGATATTTACGAGAACATACTTCTCATGTAATTTTTTCTATCTGTTACAAAAATATAAACACTATCATTATATAAAAGTAATTATTATAGCATTTTTACAAGATTTTTTTATTTAAACAAGTCATATGAAGTCTTTTGAACGTTAAGGTTAGCAATTTCAATCACACGCGGGGTATCACAACCTCTCTAACAAGGATCACTTTTCAAATACTAAATAACCAAATTGTTTATATGAATTCGTTTTAATGTTTGTTATATTGTAGCGTTTGATTTTTATAACTACAAAGGTTATCTTAGGTAAGGGTTTATCATACTGAGTGACCAATATACACATTTTAAAAATTCTTTATTCCTCTACTGTACACAATTTAAAGAATTTTTAAAATGTGTTAGATTGGTCACTTGGTGTGATAAACCCTTACTTATGTTAA